ATCTTCTATCCGCCTCCCCCTTTCTCCCTATTTATTTCAGAACGCCCTTCCCCTCCCCCATTTCTGATGAAGGGTCTAGGCCCGAAACGTCAGCCTTCCTGCTTCTCTGATGCTGCTTGGCCTGCTGTGTTCATCCAGCTCTACACCTTGTTATCTCAGATTTTCCAGCAATTGCAGTTCCTACTATCCCCTCTACCACCACCCTCTGTCTCCTACCTTCAAGCCAATTTTGTATCCAATTGGTTAGTTCACCCCCAGATTCCAATTAATCTAACCTTAGTAGCCAGTCTACCATACAGAACCTTGTCGAATGCCTTGCTGAAGTCCAAACAGATAACTTCTACCACTCTGTCTTCTTCTTTGTCACTTTGAATCCACTTGCTATAAATTTCAACAAACCATTTGCTTTCTTCGTCACCTGCATGCTAACATTCAGTATACAAGGGCACACAGTTGTCATTGCATTGCCTCCTTCTCCAAGCTATCACCATTCAGATAACAATCTGCCTTCCAGTTTTTGCTACTGAAGTGGATAACCTTGCATTTATCCACATTGTACTTCAAATGCCATGCATTTACCCACTGACTCATCTCTACATGCGCAAGAACCTTCCAGCCAGCTTTGTGTAATGTGCAATCTTGGACATATTACATTCAGTTCCCTCATCTAAATCATGATCACATATATTGTGAATAATTGGGCTGAAGCTCTACGTTCTTGTTTGCCCAACAAAACTCTTGTCTTCCTTTTCTATCAAAAATCTATCTAACTCAGCCTTGAATAAATTTGAAGATACAATCTCCAATATTTTCTGGGAAAGAGAAGTCCATATCTCAAAGACTCTTTGAGAGAAAATATTTGTCTTCATGTCTGTCTTAAAAGGGAGACCTCTTATTCTTAAACTATGTCACCTAGTTTTAGTTTTCATCAGAAAAGGAAACATCTTCTGGGTGTCAGCCCTATCCAGACTCTCAAATACTGAAGCAGTTTGTGTCCAAGTCCTGGACAACAATCATGCCCGGGCTGATAAATGGCAAGTGACACTTGTGTCACACAAGTGCTACCTCCAAAAATAAAGAACCTAATCATCTCTCATTGACAGTCAATGGTATTACCATCACTGAATACCCCACTATCAACATTCTGGAGGTAACCATTATCCAGAAATTAAACTGTGCTGGCCATATAAATACAGTGGCTATAACAACAGGTCAGAGGTCAGAAATCCTGCAGCGAGTAACTCACTTCCTGCCTCCACAAAGCCTGTCCATCACCTGCAAGATACAAGTCAGGAGTCTGGTTGAATACTATGCTAGATGAGTGCAACTCCAACAACACTCAAGATGTTCAACGTTATGCAGAACAAAGCAGCCCATTTGACTGGCACCACATTCACAACATTTATCAGGTACTTCCTCAATTAAAGCACAATGGCAGCATTTACAAGATGTCTTGCAGTAACTCACCAAGATTCTGTGAACACCTTCCAAATTCAGGACTATTACCATCTCAAAGGACAGGACAGCAAATGCATGAGAGTACCACTATCTGTAAGTTCCCTCCACTTGGAACTTTAATTGCTATTCCTTCACTGTCTTTGGATCAAAATCCTGGAATTCAGCATTGAATGCACCAACCCAGAAATTCAGCAACACATATATCACATGGGTCGCAGTTGGTGGTGAACAGCCTTCTTGAACACCAGCTCTTCAAAGCCTTTAGGGATGAAGACATTCCTAATACATTCGCACATCCCATGAAAGAATAAAAACAACAAAAGCAGTTCGGAGATGATTCATTAGATTCATTCCTGGGATGAAAGGTTTATCATATCGGGTGAGATTAAACAGGTTAGGCTTTACCCATTGGAGTTCAGAAGAATGAGAGGTGATCTTATTGAAACATAAACGATCCTGAGGGGACTTGATGGGGTGGGTATCGGAGGATGTTTCTAGAGACTAAAATTGAGGTATACCATTTAAGAATAAGAGGTCTCCCTTTAATGATATAGATCAGGAACAATCTTTTCTCTCAGAGGGTTATTAGCATGTGGAGTTCTCTTTCCCACGAGATAGTGAAAGCTGGGTCTTTAAATTTATTCAAGGCAGAGTTTGATACATTATCAATAGACATGCTAGTCAAGGTTCATGGATTAATGACAGGAAAGTGGAGTTATTGAATGATGGATTAGGCTCGAAAGGCCAAATAGACTACTTGTGCTCCTAAACTCTATGTTCCAGTTTAATCTCTCTTTAAACAACAAGTCAAAACCTACAGTGAACTGCTTGTATTTTTTTTGTTTAAAAATGTGTGGTTGCTAAGGTTAAGCTTTAACATACACAGGCAGACATTCCGACTCCTGCATCAATAAAGAAGTTATTTTTTGTTGCTGGAGGAGTCTCTCTGTAGAGTCCAACTGATTGCCTTTATTAAACATTTTAAAAGATGTTGGAAGAGATTTGTATATGAGCCAATTTGCTGCAAGACTTTTTTTCTAAAAGTCAAGTGTAAGAAAGGAGGTACAAAGTGAAATAATGCATGCATGCAAATTCAACAACTACTGGATAAAACTGGCAGATCTCCTCTGACATTGCTGACAGTAAGTTAGATGAAATGAAGATTATATTATCCTGTTGCTTGGGTAAAGTGGTGTCCCTTAAGGTCATGACATCTGAACCCTGTGAAGTAAAGCTGAACAAAGTCAGTTTTTAATTACTCTGAAAGCTTCATACTACACCTCAGCTTTTGTTTTAAAAGAAGTGAGTAATGTGTATCAGATATACAGTTGTGAAAATGTGAAATTTAAAATTATTCTTCAATGACACTGATGACTGAACTGTGATATGCACTATCTGAAGACAGAAACTTGCGCAATGTAAGGCATATTGTGTTATCTTGCAGTTCAAGTATTCTGTAATAACATTAACATGCATTTACATAGCACTTTTAAAGTAGTAAAATGTCCCAAGGTGCATTGCAAGACAATTCTCAAACTGAATTTGATTCCAACCTGGGAAGGACATATTACGATTGATGACGAAAGAGGCAGGTTTTAAATGAGCATCTAAGGAATAGAGAAAGTCAGAAGGGTTCAGGGAGGAATTCTGAGTTTAGGGCCTAGGCAGCTGAAAGGACTAACATTAAGAATGTGCAACTGGCTTGGATTAAAGCAGTGCATGAATCTCAATGAGTTGCACGATTTGAGGACAGGGCAGAGATAGGGAACAGCAAGGCCATGAAAGCAGCCAAAAATAACAGTTTTATAAAGTGAGGTGTTGCCAAATCAGGAACCATTGTTGGTCAGCGATTGATGCTGATGACTGAACAAGACAAGTTATGAGCTAGGTACGGTCTGCCTAGTTTTGGATCAGCTCAAGCTTATGTGTATGGATGAGAGTTTCAGGAGCAGATGAACTGAGTTGGGTGAGATTACATGATGTTAGAGAAGTGGAAATGAGTGTCTTAGTGAAGGCACTAATGTGTGGTCAGAAGATTACTTCTGTCTTTTACACATTACAAAGGAGATAAAGTCCAATAAATAAGCAAACATTGGATGAGTTCACTGCAAGGTTAATTGCTCTGCTTGCTTAAGACAAGACAATAATCCGAGATCCTGGAAACAATGTGGTTCTGGTATCTTCTTTCTAGGCTTTTTCTTTAATACTGCTACTTTTGTTTATATTACTTTTCTTTTGAATAACACAAATAGATGGCATCTGAATTATGGCAGACGACTGAGGTCTGATGCACAGCCAATGTGTACATACATAACAGTCCTCTAGAACATGTTCACACATGCACTCACACATACACAACTGATAATGAGTAAACAGCTAATGCCACTTTTCAAATCTCAGAAGACAAGGTTGCCATCAATACTGTACATATTAATGCTGAATGACAGTTAGCTGCCAGGCTTTGTTAAATTTTAGACCAGGCAGGCTGCCTCTGATTTGTCAGCCCAGTGCCCTGGGAAATGAACCAGCAAACAACGCTTGCCTATTTTGGCAAGTACACGTTCCTTCTATCTGCAAAGAACAGGGCCCTATGTATTTCTGAAGTAGGGTCCAGCCCCGAAACATCAGCTTTCCCGCTCCTCTGATGCTGCCTGGCCTGCAATATTCCTCCAGCTCCACACTTTGTATCCCTATGTATTAATATGTATGATTTCCAGTACACACCAGTCTACAACATTGCAAACCTATCTGAACGTTGACGTCATTTTACCTTCTAACTTAATTTCACATGTATGTCAAAATCATTTATTTCACAAGCTGTGAAATGTAATTAAAAGCAAAGCATCATCAATGCATTTTACTTCCTGGCTCTCTGTCTGTGAGAGTTCTTCAATGTAGTTGCCTGCTTACCTATTTGATAACATGCCTGCTGCCACATCTGCTGATTCCTTTGACTTGGCACCAGATTCAAACTATTGCTTGGTAAGAGGAAATCCATGCCAAACAGATTGTTAAATCTTTGTAGGCAGGTCTCTTTGAGGTCAAGGGCAAGGATTATCACTTTAATATTAACTGCAAAATCTGGATCACTCATTTAAAATTTCCAGTCAAATAGCAAAATTTATTTTCAACATAGTTCTTAACGTATCAAGAATTTAATCATATTTATGGAACATTCAATTTTGCATGCTGGTATCTTTTCTGGGCCTCAGGGAGGAAATAACTTAATTATTTTAACTACATGGCACAAGGTTACAGCAACCCCCACTGCTGCTCCAAACCCCAAACCCTCCCCCCACATGCTGGTGCAGCAATGCTTCATAGCAATAAAACATCATTAATACAGTGCAAACCTTAACTTTTGTGAGAAACAAAACTCATTATAAGGCCACAGTTTGTACTTTCTTTGTTCCAAGATCACAATATATAAATTTCTAAATTTGATAACATAAGAATGGCATTTAGGTATAAACAGCACAATTATAATCAAAATTTAAAACTATTTAATCTAATCACAAATTTAGTTTCTCCGTCATTCTCACCTCTTTCTTATCATCTACTTCGTGACCCTGAAGATCTTGAAAGCAATGATCCCCCACAACTAAGCTGTTTATGGATTTTTTAGATCTCAAGTGCACTTTAACCATGTATCCCTCATTGAGCTCCTGTAAAGATAAACAGAATGGAGAATGAGACTCAATACATTCTTCTGCAGCCAAAGAATGCTCTTTACTGCATTACAGCCCCACAGTAAATCACTGGCCATTTTACCTAGGGCACAGCAAATTTCTTAAGGGAATTTCAAGGCTCAATCTTCTGAAAAAGTCCAATGCTAGTTACACTAAATATTTCAATTGTTGTATAATTTCAATTAAACAATACCAATAGTACAGTAAAATGGGAATTCTGTGATTAAAAATTGAATCAAAATTTCAATTAATACATCTTAAATCAAGAAAAGACACATTTAATTTACCAACTAAACATCCAACAGATAATTCCTAAATCCAATTTAATCTTATAATTTCCTCTGAAAAACAAAATCAACTTTTCAACCACAGAAACCTACCATTTACCATCAACGTTATACTGCATAGTGTATTGTACAAGGAAATTAAAAGGCAGTAAAATAGATTTTTTGTAAATTTTGATTTCTTAAGTGCAATTGTACAAAAAACTGTAAATGAGGAAACATTGATTACTGACTAAAGAAAAAAATAACTATTGATAATTTCACGAGTATCATCTAATGTGAGCTTACAGTAAGCAATGAATAACATGATCTGGTGATAAAGTACAGTTCACTACAATGCATTATGGTCATCTTAATCAATTCTATTTGTCCTTCTCAGTTTTATAAACTGGATCACATTTGCTAGGCTTTAGCTTATACTTCATGGATCATACACCAATCCGCACCTCCACTCTCCACATTTATTTCAACAAAATGCAAGATTATATACGTATGGGCCAAAGGCAGGTATATGAAGATCAGCCATGATCTCATTGAACAGCAGAGGGGTTCAATGGCTGATTCCTGTTATAATGTTCTTATACTGAAGTGAGTAGAACCTTCTCTATTGGTGATCAGCACCAGACACACTCCAGCACAATGAGTTAACCCATTTGCCCTTGAACTGAGTTGTCTGCTCAGCTTTGCAGGGACAGTTAAGAGAGTTAACTACACTGCTGTAGATCTGGAGTCACATCTAGGTCAAACCAGGTAGGGATGGTAGATTTCCTCCTCTAAATGACATTAATGAACCAGGTGGGTTTTTTCAACAATCAATCAAAGTTACATCACCACCTTTATGGTGATTAACTTTTAATTCCAGATTTATTTGATCTGAATTTCCAACGGCTGGCATGGCTTCTGGTTTACTTGCCCAGTGATGTTACCACAGTGTCACCATCTCCCTTGAGGTTTCATAAGCATAGTACATTCTACGATACATAGGAATTATTCGAAACTAATTAAGAAAATAATTAAAGTCGATTAACGAAACAGTGTGAGTAATGGTGGCAGAACAGGTGTTCTGGTGCAATGGTGGAATGTGGGAGCTTTTAGATGCCAAGGCAAACTAAGACAAACATGTCTGCAGAAAGAGTAAGCAGCTAAAGAAATTCCAAATAATGATTATTGATCAGGTAGCTGAACTGCAGACACTGCGCAATAAATCAACCTGGGTCGAGTTAAGAAGCAACAAGGGGCAGAAACCGTTAGTGAGTGCTGTCCACTGTCCTCCAAATAGTAGTGATAAAGTAAAGGATGGCATTCGATGGGAAGTTAGAGATACTTGTAAAGGATGCTACAGTAATCATGGGTGACTTTAGTCTATAATATAGACTGGGCAAACACACATGCAATAGCACGGTGGTGGATGAATTCTTGAAGTGTGTACAAATTGTTCCTTTAGACATAGGGAAGTCAGCAAGGAAACAGGCATGCTAGATTCGGTATTGTCCAATAAGAAAAGGAGTTAATTAATAATCTTTTTGTACAATGTCCTTTAGAAAAGAGCTACCATAAAATGACAGAATTCTTCACTGGGACAGAAAGTGAACGGGGTCAATCCAAAAGGTTTAAATCTAACCAAAGGATGAAAATGTACAAGATGTGGATTGGCTGTAAATGATTGAGTAACTTAATTTAGAAGCATGATGGGAGACAGGCAAATGATAATATTTAACAAATGAATGCACACTTTGCAACAGCTATACATTGCTTTCTAGTGAAAAAATACAACAGCAATTGTGCCCCAACCATGGAAAAGAAAAGAGAACAAAGGTATCATTAGATCCAAAGAAAAGTCATAGAAAGTTGCTTTAAAAAGAAGCAAGCTGAGGATTGGGAGCAGTTCAGAATTCAGTAAAAGCAAGGTGAAAAGACTGTTCAAGCAGGGGAAAAATAGAATATGAGAATAAACTTGCAAGGAGAATAAAAGCTGATTGGAAGGTCTTCTATAAATGCATAATAAGAAAAGGATTTGTGAAGACAAATCTAGGTCCCTTACAGTCCAAAACAGGAAAGTTAATAATGGAGGAAAAAGAAACAGCAGCACAATTAAACAACTATTTTAGTTTTGCCTTCACAGAAGAATACACAGAAAACTTCCCAGAAATATCAGGGAACAAAACATCATATCTCCGGATCAAAAACAGACGTTGCTGGAAAAGCTCAGCAGGTCTGGCAGCATCTGTGAAGAAAAGGTCAAAGTTAACGTTTCGGGTCCAGTGACCCTCCCTCACTGGCACATCTCTTGTAGGCATGCCTTTACAGTATCCACAGTTCTTTCAGTTTTTATATAGTCTCTGGATATTTAGCAATGAGAGTGAGAAACTGCTTCACCTACAGGGGGTAACCTTGTGCAACTGTCTGTCACACAAGACAGTGGAGTCAAAGTCTGACTCTCTTTAAGAAAGAAACAGAGATTTCCAGACATTAAAGGCATCGAGGGGTATAGAGAGAGCACGGAAGCACGGCATTGAGACAAAAGATTAGGATGATTACGTTGAGTGGTGCAACAGCTTCGATGAGCCCAATGACCCACTCTTGGTCCTATTTTGTGTGTTTCTCTAAGAGAAAGAAAGAAATACCTTGCTCCTTGACAGTCACAACTCTTAAAACAGGCTCATCTATTTTTGTCAGTAGTGAGGGACTGGACAATGTGACCTTGAGTGAAGTATGTAAAGGAATCACACAGTAAGTACTGGAGGAGCTTCAGACTTTGCAACTGACCAACAGATTTGGGGTGTTCTCAACCTGCCTGGACGAAAACAAGGTCAGCCAAGTTATTCAGCAGCAGGCCATGACATTGTGATAGAGGCAGCCATTGAAGCAGGGTAAGCAAATAGGATCAGAGATAGTAGGAACTGCAGATGCTGGAGAATCCGAGACAACAAGGTGCAGGGCTGGATGAACACAGCAGGCCAAGCAGCATCATAGGAGCAGAGAGGCTGACGTTTCGGGCCTAGACCCTAAGCAAATAGGAATTTGGTAGTAGGAGAGGGCGGTATAATGAAGGGCTTGTCCTCTGCAGCAAACAGAGGATTTTGAACAGAGGGTCCAGAAGGTTGTGTTGCCTGCCTGGTGCCATGGTTCAGACACCTGCTCAAGGTGGGAGAGGAACTTGTGGCTGAGAAGGGGGAGGATCCAGTTGTCATGGTCCATATGAATGCCAAAATCTCATAATTGTTATGGTGCAGAAAGCTATTTGACCAACATGTTTGCACCAGCTGTCTGCACAAGTATTATGACTTTGTACCAATCTCCTGCTTTTTCCTGTTAATCTACAAATTGTTCATATTTGGATAATCACATGATGCCCTCTTGAATGTTTTGATTGAATTTAATGTATACTTTCAGGGAGTGCATTCCAGGCCCAAAACAATCACTTTGTGAAATAAGCTTGTTTTCAATTCCCATTTCTTTCTTTTGCCAATCACTTCAAATCTGCGCCCTCTCATTCTCTGTCCTTTTATGAGCAGGAACAGTTTCTCCCTAACTACTCTGTCCAGCCTCCTTCCCATTTGAAAAACCTGTATCAAATCTCCTTATGGCATTCTCCTTTCCAAGGAAAACAGTCCAAAATTCATAAATGAAATTCCTCACCACTGAAACAACTCTAATAAACCTCTTCTGCATTCTCTCAATGTTTACAGAACACTGCCCAGAACAGTAAACAACACTCCAACAGAGGTCTGATTAGTGAGTTACGAAAGTTCAGCAGAATCTCGCTGCTCTTTTATTCTTATAGTGGATCATATGTTTTATTAACTGCTTGCTCCACCTGTCTGCCACTAATGACCTATATACACACATGTCAATCTGCTGCTGCACGCCATTTAAAATTGGACACCTTATATTTTATTGTCTCTTCATGTTCTTCCTAAGAAAATGACTTACTCAATACTTCAGTACACCTGCTGACGCCATCTGCCACCTCTCTGTCCACTCTATCTTTGTCCTTCTGAAATTCCATAAAATGTCCCCCTCAGAGTTTGCCGGGCTTCCAAGTTTTGTATCAGACAAAAACTTTAAAATTGTTTCCTGCAGACCAAGATCTAGATCACTGTACATAAAAACCAGGATAAGCAAGAATCCCAACACAACCCCTGGGAAACCCCAGGTACAAATCTTCCTCCAGCCTGAGAAATCCCCATTAAATCATTGCCTTATTTCCTATCACTCAGTCAATTTTCTATCTATGTTGCTGGTGTCCCTTTTATTCCATAACCTATTAACTTTGCTTACATGTTTGTTGCATGTTTGTACTGTGTTGAATACCTTTTGGAAATCCATGCATACCTCATCAACAGCCTTGGTCTCAACAACTATCTGTTATCTCTTAAAAAAAAACCTCCTGCAAGGTAGTTAAAAAGAATTTTCCACAAATTTTCCATGCTGATTCTTCCTAAGCAACCTTTTTTTTTCTCTTGTGACGAATAATTTTATCCCAAAAAACTGCTTTTAGATGCTTCTCCACCCTTGAAGTTAAACTGACTGCTTTGCAGTTGCTCGGCTTATCTTCACTTTTTGAACAAGGGTGCAGTGCTTGCAAATCTCCACTCCTCTGGTGCGAGCATAGGACAGACTGAATGATTATGGCTTGTGCCTTCACAATTTCATTTCTCACTTCTTCAATATCCCTAGATGCATCTCAACTGGGTCCCCTAATCATGACAACTTCAAGTAACAACAATTTATCCAATATCTCCTCTTCATCAATTTTGAAACTCTCTGGTGACAGTGCTTCCTCCTCTGTCAACATGGCCTGAGTAGCATCTGCCTTCTTGATAAAGACAGATGCGAAGCATTCATTTAACACCTCAGCCATGCCCCCTGTTTCTATCTGCAGCAACATAAATCGGACAAGGGAAGAGGTTCTGCATAGTCAATAGGAGGAAATGCAATACTCTCTGGATTATTGCCTGAGCCACGTGGAAATTGGCATAAGGAAAATCAGATTAGAGACATGAATGCGTAGTTTAAAGACTAGTGTGGGATGATTGGAATCTCATTCATGGAGCACTGGCACCAAAATTGGAGGAAGTGGAGGCTGTACTGTTTGATACGGTCTACACTCAAACTATGCTGGAGCCTGTACTTTTGTCAACTGTGTAACTAGGAAGCTAGAAAAATGAAGAAGGTTTAAAATTTTAAAAAGGAACGAGGAAAAATTGGAGGGGTAGCTTTGTTGTTTAAAGATAACATTGGCACAGTAAAGAGGTATGACCTAAATTCAGGAAACCAAGGTGTAAAGATGCTATGCTATAGGTAAAAGGCAAGAAGTCACTGGTGGAAGTGGTTAACCATCTAGTCACCTAAGAGTAACCACATCACATTATCGAAGAATAATTAATGGGAACTTGTTAGAGGGGTATGGTGATTAGTAATGGGAGATGTCAATCTACATACAGAATAGAAAAATCAGATGGATAAGAATAGTCTAGATGTGGAATTCATAGAATGTCTTGGGATAGTTTCTTAGAACGGCATGTTCTGACATCAACAAGTCAGCAATCTATACTAGATCTGATATTGACAAAAAAAATTGGATTAATTAATTACTTCAGTGATCTTAACAAGATGTTTTTTTCTGGTGGGTTAGTATACAACAAGGGGTCTTTGTTTAAAATAAGGGGCTGTCTTTTTGTGACAGATATGAGGGGAGTTTCTTTACTTGCAGAAAGTTGGTGGTGCTGGCTGAATCTTTTAATATTTTTAAGACATAGAGGTAGATCATTGTTTGAAGAGCAAAAGAGGTGAAAGGTTTGGGAGATATGCTGAAATGTGGCACTGATGTTAAAATCATATCACCCATGATTTTATTGAATGTTGGGGTAGGATCAAGGGCACAGTGGCCTATTCCAGATCCTTATTTGCATACTTATGTAACTATTGAAAAAGTCTTACGATAAATATTAATATTAAAGATTCTATCCCTTTACCCTCAACAACAGCCTTACTCAAACTGAATGGCTACCCGGCTGCACTTTAAATTTCAGTTGGCACACCAGTAATTGGCTTGTTTTCAGCAAACGTCTGCATTCTCTCAATGTTATTTTATTAGTTAGAACATGGGAAGAAAAACTGCAGCAAAAAGGGAAAAAAGAAAGGAAAAGGAACTGGCAAGCAGAGGAGCTCCGACTGCAGCTTCCTACTCTGCTGACATCTTTTATGCTAAAAGTGGTGATGCATGCATTTTTAATAATAATTTCAATCCTTGGAGTAGAGCTTCAGGCAAACAATTCAGTAGATTCGAAACACAGACAGAAGAGAAAAAATAACTGCTGTTGCTCAGCAATAAGATGCCTCATGACACAGGGAGACAGAAAGACAGGACTATTAAGAATACCAAAGCAGATTGTCCGGTTTCTTTCAGAGATTAGCAGGTCTTTCAACAAGATGAGGTCACAGCAGCAGGGCAGTTTAGCGGTCTTCAAAACAGCCAGGGCAGAAGAAACAAAATCCTGACTAGCTAAATATCAGTTAGAGAAAATATCCAGGAATAGGTTATCGAAAAGATGTTTAGAGAACCTGTGTTAAGAAATAAATTAGCTGCATTAGCAGTTTGTTTAAGGGTCCCGGGAAGAGACATTAACTAATAAAATAACATTGAGAGAATGCAGACATTTGCTGAAAAGAAGCCAATTACAGCTGTGCCAATTGAACTTTAAAGTGCAGCAGGATAGGCATTCACTGGGGTTTGAGTAAGGCCGTTGTTGAGGGTAATGGGATAGAATCTTTAATATTAATACTTATCATAGGACTTTATGCAATGACTGGTTCGAAGAGTTTCCCTGTTTTAAAGCTTTGATATGTGTCAGGAAGAACAGGAGTCCTTTGCCCCAGTGTCACAAGGATGCCTTTGACCTCCCACCCCCAAGGCTCTCCTGTTTCAATCCACCAGCTACTACTGATCAAAGACCCAACTGCTCTTGCCTCCCCTTTGTCACTCTCATCACATCCCTCAAACTACTAAAGATGGAGTAAGACTTCCTCATGATGTAATTCAAAATATGAAAAATGCCAAGGACGTTATCACATGATGACCCCTACATGTTAGGTAGGTAAGTCTTCAGCAGAAGCTTCATCCAGGATGAATGCTTCTATAAATATAAGATGGCTGGGAATAGCTCACCATGAGGATCCTCTCTAAGACTGAAGCTATATTATAGGAATAGTGCAGCGTAGGCAGAATACATTCAAATGCTACTGAGTACCAAGTTGAAATTGATTCTCTGAACTGTTTTCTTAAAATAAAGGAGACATTATTTTGCAAAGTGAAGATGATATTGGGGGGGGGGGCTTCGACAGCTATTCCTAAAGGAAGTCTACATGGCTCAGTGGTTGTGTTGCTACCTTAAGAGCAGAGACTCGAGGTTCAAGCCCCAGTTCATGACTTGATAGCTATAGAATGTGTGTCATAACATACTCAAACAGGTTAATCATCAATCTGCAGACCCCTCCAATCTGCCTATGGCAACTAGTAAAAGTGGTGGAGTTTCCGGGTCAGCCAGAGCCTTTTGGTAGCTGCAGCACAACAGACTCCCCAGGCAAAAAGACCCAATTGACAGGTTCTTGACATGAGCAAGCTTCATTGTCATTTCATGTAACTGATAGATACTAAGCTCCAACATACCTTCTGCCTCCACTCCCAGCCATTGTCAATTTCATCCGAATGCTTAATAAACAATTTACAGAACTTTTGAAATTGCTCTTCACCCAGGCAAACATTTTCATTTCGATTAAAGGTATGTGACATCTGCAGACAGTAAAAAAAGCAAGTAAACCCATTAGTCACTCCATAAGCAGCACAGACAATAACTTCATCAGTACCTGTACTGTGTCATTTTTAACTTAGAGAATGGTGGGACATTTAAATTTGATCCCATAGAAATATCATTCATTTTGCATTTCAAAGAATATTATAGAGTCAGGGAAACAAACAGAATCAGAATAATTAATCCAATAAAAAGAACACTTGAAATCTTTTTATCTCCTTCAGTTCTAGGTTTACTATTTTCCTTAGCTGGCCTAACAAATTTTGAAAATCTAAATACACAATTATCTATCTAGAGTGGATGACTGTTCTTCATACCTGTCTTTTTGATTCCAATTTGAATGGGAATGGTCAATATATCAACGTCATATTAGATTTCGTCTTGCAACTATTTGGGTTTGGTATAGCAAGGTGTGGAGCTGGATGAACACAGCAGGCCAGGCAGCATCAGAGTAGCAGGAAGGCTGACATTTCGGGTCTGGACCCTTCTTCATAAATGGGGGAGGGGAAGGGGATTCTGAAATAAATAGAGAGAGAGGGGGAGGTGGATAGAAGATGGATAAAGGAGAAGATAGGTGGAGAGGAGACAGACAGGTCAAAGAGGCGGGGATGGAGCCAGTAAAGGTGAGTGTAGGTAGGAAACAGGGGTAGGGCTTGGTCAGTGAGGTGGGAGGAGCGGATAGGTGGGAGAGAAGACAGACAGGTCAAGGAGGCAGGGACGAGACGGGGACTGGTCTTGGGATGAGGTCAGGGGTGGGGAGATTTTGAAGCTCGTAAAGTCCACATTGAGACCATTGGGCTGTAGGGTTCCAAGGCAGAATATGAGGTGCTGTTCCTCCAGTTTTCGGGTGGCATCGTTGTGACACTGGAGGAGGCCCAAGATGGACATGTCGTCCAGGGAGTGGGAGGGGGAGTTGAAGTGGTTCGCGACTGGGAGGTGTTGTCGTTTGTCGTGATTTGGTGTTTGGTGTATTTGGATTTGGTGTTTTTCTCAGCAGACGAGTCAATGTTGGACCTTGCAGAAAACAGAAGGACACTTGCACCAGCCATTTATATGAGCCCTTGCACAATCTGCTGCTTTCTAGCTAAGGTAAACTCAATCAAGAGGTTGGTGTGTTGGAGTTTACTCAGCCATCAGACAAAACAAACTAATCATTAATTGCCAATTGACTGCTATCACATAACAAATAAATAGAGGCCAGTATCCCATCACCAAGTCATCCTTTATTTACATGTGAAGAGTCCTTGGCTCTAATACATCCCCTTAGAGCCAGCTCCCAGAGTGCCAGAATCTCTGTCAGCCAGGGCTCCCTGATTGGACCAGATTAACTGCCTCAGTCAGGGAACTCATATTCTGTGAGGTCCAGCTGGCTGACCTCATTACAATCATTACACAGTCTAACGTGAAAAGGTTACAAAAAGCTCTAGAAGATAAGAAATAGCTTTCCTTTTATGGGTTGTCATGTCAATTCACTATCCAAGACTATAACTAAATATCCATAAACTACCTATCCAAAAGTAAAACACATTAAAACTTGGGGCAATTCCACCTTTAAAAATGCCCACTGAGTTAAGATGCCTCTACCCTGCAGCTCTCCAGCTTTAACACCTAAATTCAATGTAGGTAAATCAACAATCATTAAGTAGAACCTTAAGCACATGTCTACTTCATTATCATGATTTGAAGTGATATTAAACCTGTGCAGCTTGTTACAGTCATAGTGAAAATGGATTATCAATATTCTGCTTTCATTGTTTGACTTTAATACCCAGGTGTTCATGGAGATAAAAAAAATAGAAAGGGCAATCCTAAAATGTTTGCTGTAATCACCTGCCAAGTCCAGTCAACCCACATGATATAGAAACATGGCTGCCATTACCATTTTTAATCAAAAAACACATAAACTCTGTGGTATTAAGAAATTTACATCTATTGTTGATTGTATACTTGCATAATAACTTTACATACTGGGGATGAAAAGTCACCTGCAAAGCACACAGTTTGAAAAAGACACTGGGGCTTGACTTGGAAATATACAAACAAACCCATATTTCTGTATGGGCCTAGGCCCGAAACGTCAGCCTCTCTGCTCCTATGATGCTGCTTGGCCTGCTGTGTTCATCCAGCCCTGCACCTTGTTGTCTCGGATTCGCCAGCATCTGCAGTTCCTACTATCTCTGACCCCATATTTCTGTACCTTTCTTTGAGCAAAAAGAGAAAATAACATGAATTACAAATGCAATGTTAGCATTTATTTTGAGAGGGCTAGAATACAAGACAGGGATGTACTACTGAGGCTATATAAGGCTCTGGTCAGGCTGCATTTGGAACAATTGTGAGCGGTTTTAGGTCCCCTATCTAAGGAAGAATGTGCTGGTATTGGATGGAGTCTAGAGATGGTTTCCAAGAATGATCCCAGGACTAAAGGCTTGTTAAATGAGGAGTGGTTGAGAATTCTGGGTCTGTGTCCGATGGAGTTTAGCAGGATGAGGGGGAATCTGATTGAAACTTAAGAGAAGACTGAAAGGCTGTGGAAAAGATGTCTCCACAATAGGAGAGACTAGGACCTGAAGGCACTGCCTCAGAGTGAAGCAATGACCCTTTAGAATTGAGATGAAACGGAATTTCTTCAGCCAGAGGGTGGTTAATCGTGGAACTCATTCCACAGAAGGTGTGGAGTCCAAGTCATTGAGTACATTTAAAACAGAGATAGATAGGTACTTGATTGGTAAGGAGATCAAGGTTTAGGGGCAGAAGGCAGGAGAATGGGGTTAAGAGACACATCAGACTTGATCGAACAGTGGAGAAGATTCAATGGGTTAAATGACCTAACTCTCCTCCTATCTTTTGTGGAAATGCGCATAACAAGAATATATAAAATATCCTTTCAGCAAACCAGTGCTGGTGGAATAAACAACTTGGAAAAGCCTTACCTCATGGAGAAATCAAGGCTATCTACAATCTTTCCCACTCCTGTGTATCAGGAGTGTGATAGCTATGTGATAAAAATAAATAAATGAAAATATATTTGCAGCGACAGATTGAGAGGGGACGAAAAGAAAAGGGCAGCTAAAGCCCTCCTCACCTGGTTACATCAAACCAAAGATATTTATTGGATACTTATTTCGGAAAAGTATTCATTAGTTCTAAAATGTATCCAGGAGTGAAATATCCATCTGTTACTACACACAATTATCGCAATAAACCATCATGGGCTGCAAAATTAAAAGCTTTGCTTTCACTGTTGCATATCTTAGTCAGATTTTTACAAATATTTGCACTTCAAAATAGTTTTTATAGATGGCACTGTGCTACCTTAACCATTCACTTTGGCCGTCAATAGTTTAACTGATTGCAGCATATGGTCCATATGCAATGTGTTTTTTTACAGTTAAAATAGCGAGAATACTTTGTGCTCATGAAAAATTAATTCATGCAATATTTTTGAACTAGCTATACAAAAAAACTATATAAATAATTCATGGTAATTGTTTAGCTATACCTTGCCTTTCTGCTGGTGCCTGCTGGCTTATTTCATATTTAGTCATGTTCAAAAATAGTAACTGTTGCAGATTTTCTCCAAATTTACTTTCGACTATTTTTGAAATACTTTGTTTTTCAATTCATTTTTAGTATCAAAATCCTTCAAACAAAACAAGTTTCTGAATTAGAAACAATAATTGATCTTAGAAAAAACAATTATATCCAAGATTTTTCTTGGGGGAGGGAGGAGGGTGAATTTCGGGATAAGGGTAGGTGAGTGGAAGGGTGGGGAATGACAGATAACAAGGGTTAGGAAGCAAAACAATGGATGGGGAGATAGTAGGAACTGCAGATGCTGGAGAATCTGAGATAACAAGGTGTGGAGCTGGATGAACACAGCAGGCCAAGCAGCATCAGAGCAGCATCCTTTTCTGAAGAAGGTATAAGGCCCGAAACGTCAGCCTTCCTGCTCCTCTGATGCTGCTTGGTCTGCTGTGTTCATCCAGCTCTACACCTTGTTATAATGGATGGAAAGAGGTTATTCTGACAAAAGTCAAGGACATTTTTGAGCAATTTTCCTTCTGCTGCATCCATCATCAAGCACCTGAGCCACTGACCCTGATTCATACACATGAATCACATTGAAGCTAACAGCACATCAAATGCTATGGTTCCACAGTTTTCACATAAAGCAACCGAGACTCACATTTGCAAATTAAATTTTGCTTGCATGCAAATAAACAATTTTGATTTTTACCAATGACCGGTTAGGGCTAAGCATGGTCAATAACTTCTCTTCAAAATACTTCAAATGTTCAAGAATAAAAAAAAGTGCATCAACACATCAAAAGTGTCACAGAACTGTGTTCTTAAAACAAGACTGTGACCTGAATGATTGAATTACCTTGCACTGATGCAGAGTAACTGTGCATTTTCATCATTTACAACAATCTTGTGCCTACTGGAGAAGCAGACGCCAGTCTTTGGCCAATTTGATTCACTCAATGCGATATCAATAAATGGCTGAAGGCACTGGGCACTGTAAAGGCTCTGGGCCCTGAAAAAATTTCTGGGAACAGTACTGACGATTTGTACTCCTGATAAATTGCCAGACACTTAAACAAACTGTTCCAGTACAGCTACAACATTGGCATCTAACCAGCAATGTGGAAAATTGCCCAGGAATGTCCAGTCCACATAAAAAAAGGACAAATCCAACCCAGCCAATTACCACCTACCATCCTGCAGGGCAACTCAACTCCTGACTTCAGTACAGCCTTGGTCCAAAATTAACCAAAAAACTGGGCTACAGTGGCGAGTGATAATAACTGCCCTTGACATGAAGACTATATTTCACCAATAACAACTTACCATCAAGGACCCCTGGTAATCTGGAGTCAATGGGAATCAGAGGGAAAGCTCTTCACTGTTCAGAGTCATGCCTAGCACAAAGGTTGATGGTTGTACTTTGTGGAGGTCACTCAGCTCCAGGACATCTCTGCAGGAGTTCCTCGGGGTGGTGTCCTACGCCCAACCATCTTCAGCTGTTTCATAAATGACATTTCTAACTTCAGAGGTAGGGTGTTTGTTGATGATTACACAATGTTTAGCACCATTCGCAACTCTTCAGGTACTCAAGCAGTTTATGTCCATATGTATAAGGCACAAGTCAGGACAGTGATGGACACCTCTCCCCTTGCCCAGGCAAAACAGTCACTTGGTTGGTACTCTATCCACTACATTAAATACTCATTGCACCCACCACTGACACACACTGGCAGCTGTGTGCATCATCCACAGGATGCAGTGCATCTTGCACAGCTTCCTTGTTTCCTTGGACAGCCCTGTCCAAACAGCGACATCTACCACCTACGACATTCCATGGTCGTGTTCATATCACCATGAATGGCTCCTGCCATTTGCTAAGTGAAGAAATGGTCATTTCACCCGTCATCTGTTCTGCTGTTAAAATAGCGGCGGTTGAAACCGAGAAACCAAGTTCAAAGCCCACCTTAGAAAATTGCAAAACTGAATTTAAGAAATCTGATATTTTACAACATCAACATCAGAAAATAATCAAGGTACTTGCTATTTTGTGGTGAAAGCCTAGCCAGTAATTTAATGTCCTTCAGAGGAGGGAAACTACAATCCCATAGTTTTCCTATTTGTAACTGAGATCCCACTCTCAGGGAATGACTCTGAATCTCCTCAGGAAATCCAGGCACAGGCTTTAAGTCAATGGTACTAGTAAAAGCCACATCCCGAGAATAAATTTTTAAAAACAGACAATGAATGAAGTTCCCTTCCAATGTGCATGGCAAAGGATGCTGAATATTTAGATGCAGATGGAAATCTAATCTTGAGATGACTGAGTGAAAAAAAACTGCCAAATCAAGTTTAGTTTCAATAGCTCCTTTCCCACTGCTCATTAAATTTGATAGGGAAGGCAGTGTAATTCCAATCGTTCATCCACAGGCAAGTAAATCCAATCTCCTCTGTTCTCCCTCACTAAGCAGAGAGAAAAAGTTGCCAAACTTCATGTGGTCAAGTAAAACAGGATCCTCTTGATTCAGGCAGAGCAAGACAGCTTCAGTGAAAACAAATTGTGCTGGAAATAGTCAGCAGGTCAAGCAGCATCTGTGGTGAGAAACAGAGTCATAACTCAGGTTGTGAACCATTCATTACCACCAGGAGAGAAAGGACAATGTCAGCAAGGATCTAGCTGGCATTCCGGAACAGAGGACAGAATAAATATCCCAACATAGGGAGTTGTTAGGTCATGGAAGTAATTTCAATGGCAGAAAATATGCTACCATTCAAGATTAGATTTGATAGACAGATGAAGGGAAAGAGCAGCACAAGTGGATGAATTTGAACTGCTTACATGTGTGTATGGTAAGTGCCACTGTGGGCCATGTAGCTTGTCTCTTTCTATGTTGTTAAGTTTAATGAATTTGTTAAAATTTATGTTGCTTTTCTACAGCACCTGTACAATACAAGCCAAGCCTTAAATTGTGGAACCAGTCACCAACTTAACCATGCGCTGATGATATGTCTGTAAAGAATGCTTTTCTGAAAAATTTGAGATCTTCTGATCAATCAAACTAAGCTTGGTCTCCAAGCAAAAACATGTTTCTACCTCCACCCAGGACATCTGTTGGTACCATTAGGTGCCCAATGATTCCTCTCATCCATTATCCTGAAACTTGAGGATATTACAACAAGTAAAACTGGGAGAATACACACCAACTTCAAATGTTAAAAGCTCGACTGACCTTAATCTAACTCTGTAATTCAGATGACATGGAAGGCTGGCACGAATGACCCAATATGACATTAGAATCTGTTTCATTTAAAACAAATTGCCTGAGAGTGCTGGAAGGAAATGGATTGTAGTTTCAGGGGGAGTGCATCAGGAGCACACCTTTCCCCGCCATCAAGAAGGTAGTTAGCAACCGCCCCAATTTTTTTCTCCCCACTTGCACTGCAGAACCCCACCCCCCCCCCCCCAACCTACTTCTCAAAGATCGATTGGTTCCCACCTAATACCATATTTGCAAATACCTTTTAGGGAAGGAAACAGCCATCCTTATCTGGTCTGGCCTACATGTGACTCCAGGCCCAGAGAAATGTAGTTAACTGCCCACTAGGCAATTAGGGATGGACAATAAATGCTGGCCTCGCATCCCATGAATAAATTTTTAAAAAAAACTTACTGCTGCATCTTTTTTATGGGACTGCAGCAGTCGTAGCAGTGTCCAGTAATAAGATCTAGTGCTGCTGGACTGTAAGTGATGCCAAGAAGTCAAGATGTCAAGAAGATTGGCAGCAGTTTTCCAAGGCAGGACTTCCATTACCAAGGGGCATGAGTCGCGACTTTGACTTGTTGATGATCTAAGTGGCATTTTATTTTGATAGGCAGGCATCTCTTGGTTAGTTGGCTCCCGACCCAGAAGCGGGTGAGCTGGCTTAGGACTGGGGTGGCGATGGGGTCCGGGAGTCAAGCAGAATGTTTACTGAAAAATTCAGCACCCGTTTCTGGTTGTCATTAGACAGAACATTACTAAATCACTTCCCTGAATTTTCTGGCCAATCTTCTCACACATACTCCTTCCAAAGTCCTTTAGCGCAGGATTCCTCGGAGGGAGTTTCACCCTTCGCGAAAGCCATCCTTCCTTTTTACAGCACTAACCACCGTATTTTGGTAAGTAACAGTTTAGACATCCCACAGGTTGTGTTAGTTAAGACAGGAATGGGAATATGCCATTCTGCCCATCGGGTTTGCCCTGCCATTCAAAACGATCAAGGTTAATCAAACACTTCAAAGCCTTTTACTCACCTCATTCCCATTACCCTGTATGCCATTGGTAATCAGAAATCTACAACTCTCTACCTTAAACGCACTCAAAGAGTTAACTTCCACAGTCCTCAGTGGCAGAAAACTCCAAAGGTTCACAACTCTCCGAGTAGAATCATTTCTCTTCATCCCAGACCTAAGCGGCATCCCCTTCATTTGTAAATTGTGTTCCTTGGTTTTAGACTCCTCAACCAGGGGAACATCTTAGCTGCATTTACCCTGTCTATCTCTTTAAGTGTTTTGTAAGTTTCAATGAGATCACCTCTCATTCTTTTAAATTCTTGATGATGCAGGCCCAGTTTACCCAAATAAACACAAAGAACTGTGGATTCTGGAAATTTGAAGCAAAAACAGAGAGTGCTGGAGCAACAAAGCAGGTCTAGTAGCACCTATATACAGAAAATAGAGTGAACGCTTCAAGTTCAGTAGTTCTGATGTAGGGTCACTGGACTTGAAATGTAAGTTCAGTTTTCTCACTACAGATGCTGCCAAACCTGTTGTAATTCTTTAACACACTCTGTTTTTGTCCCAGTTTACCCAATCTCTATTCATAGGGTAGTTCCAGCATCTCATAATGAGTCCGATGAACCTTTATTATACTCCCTCGATGGAAATAATATTTTACTTTAGGTAAGGAGACTAAAACTGCACACGTGAGGTCTAACCAAGCTCTTGTTATTGAAACAAGAATACATTACTCCCGTGCTCAAATCCTTATGCAATGGTTATACTATTTTGATCTATTTCAGATAGAAAATGTGATTTTCAAAAATAGTAACTCCAATTAACACCTATTTTTTCATTTCTAAACAAAGTTACTTACAATTCTTTGTTTGATAGTCTTTGAACAAACGAGCAGAGGGTGAAACTTGTGGATTTAAGATGGGCAAAATCCAACATTATCTGTGTAAGTTTTGCACAGGTAATATTTCAATATTAAGGTAACAGCTCCTTTTGTTCTACATCGCAGGCTGCTATCTCAGATGAATGTGACAACTCTAATCATAGTCAGAAGCATACCTCTATCATTAAAAAAAAAATAATTTTTGTGAGGAAAGAGTCCAGAAGTTGTTTTTTTACCTTCATGACCGTAATTCAGAAAATGCTTAGAAACATATGGGAGTCATATTGGTAAAAGCAAAATTGTGATTCGCCAACTCAGGTCAACTTTCTAGCATTGTGCAATATATGTAATCAACTGCAAAGGGACTGTTAATTTTTCATTTCTTTTTCACCATTCCTCAAAGTATGGCTTTAGGAGTATCTTACTTTTAAAATGTACTTAAAAATGGCATGATAAGTTCCAAGTCAGACATCAAGAGCTATGAAACACAAAAAAACTGCGCCTATCAATCCTGTATTTACATTTCTCCTGTTCTCTTCATGTTTTTCTCTTTGTAAATTAGCCTTTTGCACTGACTTTTGGTGTTCGCCTTCTTGCTTTTATTGATAATTTCCTGATATCTCAATCACTCCTTTCCTTTTCTGTTAACATGTCCTAGTTCATGTGCTTGTATGTCTAGTCCAAAAGAGACCAAGAGGATGGAGGTTATAATGGCAGCAGGATCAATTTG